CAAAAATAAATCATCAAATCACTATCATGGGGCAGTTTGTAGGAGCTTGCTGTGGACAAACTGGCTGTTTTTTCTTTAAACACTTCAACACGAAGCACATCGAAGTGTCACAAGTTGGTGAAAGGTGTTACCTTAATGCAAGTCCACAAAGCAGGGTGTGTCAAGGCTTGGTGGGGTGGGGGGGATGCGGTGGTGGGGAAGGTTTTGTGTACAATCTGACTGAGCTGCTTAAAATGGAAGAGGGATTCACGTCTGGTTGAGAGAAACAAAGAAACTATTTCCTCTTGTGGGGGGGGGGGGGGTCCAGTTGCAAGGCTTTTTACGAGTGTAATCAGGAAGCAATCATTATAATAAAAAGGTAGTGGAAGTAAATGTCAAACTCTATCCCACACTGCAATGCAAGGAATGGATTAAAATTTTCAAGACAGTTTTTTTTAAGCTTAGGGTATTCAGTAATGTGGAAAAGGTCAGAAATCACACGACAACAGGTTATAGTCCAACAGGTTTATTTGAAAACACAAGCTTTCGGAGACTTACTCCTCCTTCAGGTGTTAGGAAGGAGTAAGACTCCGAAAGCTTGTGTTTTCAAACAGAACCATTGCCGTGGTGATTTCTGACCTTGTCCACCCCAGTCCAACACCGGCACCTCCACATCATCAGTAAATGGATTTGAGGTGGAGAGCAACCAAGATTGAACTGAATGGTAGTATGGGATCGAGGGGCCAAAGGACCTATTCTTGTTCCAACATAAATGCAATTTTCTACCCATTTATTCTGGAAGGGGGCTTGTTTTGAGTACATTTGTACCTCAGCATTGACAGCCGAAGGTGTGGTCAATGTTCTCGACAGATGAAAGCATTCAGAAATAATAATAATTAAATTCAGGTTCATGCTGCAGTTGATTTTTGGAAAATTCTATGTCAAGCATAGCTTGCAAAAAAAAGATTAATGAGGTATGCTGACCTTGGGTTATACAATGGAATACTGCTCACTAACAATTTGTGGAGCTGTCTGCCTCTGTGCAGGCACATACAAGAGACCCATTATTATACTCAACCTGTAGATTCTTCAATAGCAGGGGTCAATACTGGAGGGTACTGTGTGAACACACACTCTGTGACTTCAGGATTCAAGTGTAGCTTACAACAGAGGACTCAGAATTGCAGAGGGCATATCATTTAATAAGGGTTTGTAAGCACTCTGTACTTCGTTGGGAGGGAGAGCGAAGCCTAGATGGAGACCAGGGATGGAGTAGTGTTAATGTCACTGGACTTGCAAAAAGGCCCAGGCCAATTCTCTCAAATCCCATCGTAGCAGATGAAATTTGAATTCAACATATAAAAATAATGCAATTAAATGCTAGTCTCACAGTGACCATATAAACATGAAGGAAATCTGCCGTCTTTACCTGGTCTGACCTACATGGGACTCCAGACCCACTGTAATCAACCCCAACGTGGTTGACTCTTTACAGTCCTCTGGGGAAGAAATGCTAACCCAGCCAGTGATACCCACAATCTTTTTTTAAAATCCAATCCTCCGTATGGTCTAGCTGATCACTCATGTCTCATGCAAGTGATTGGATGATGCTCATTGCAATGCGGTCATTCATGCAGGCCACAAAACTGGAAGGTGCCAAGATTGGAAACATGAGCGTGCATTTATGTAGCATCTGTATCACAGCAAAACATCAAAAAACTGTTCACAGGACCAAAATCAGATACTAAGCCAGAGGAGGATTGTTTGGATACAAAGATCAAACAGAATGGGTCAAAAAGTTAGATTTCCAGAATGGTCTTTAAGGAAGGCTTGAGTCAATGCTCTGTCAAAAGAGGAACTGAGGAGTTATCCCTGATTTCCCTAACTCAACCAACGTCACTCAAAACAGAAATTGCAGGAGTAACTCAGCAGGTCTGGCAACATTTATGGAGAGAAAGCAGAGTCTCGAATTGTTAACTGTTTCAGCGGGGGGGGGGGGGTGAAAAATTTATTTGAGTTCTGAAGATAGGTCACTGGACTTGAAAGCAGTGCTTTTTCTGCACAGATGCTGACAGACCTGATCAGTTTCTCTCGCAATTTCTGTTTTTGTTTCAGATTTCCAGCACCCGCAGCTCTTTGTTTTCTACCGCTGAGGAAAGGTTACCGGCTCATCGTCACTGACAATGTTTGCGGGGGTCTTTATCCTCTTTCAGGAGGAGATGTGGCATTGCTGGTTGGGCCATTCCTTATTGCCCTAGGAGAGAGTGGTGGTGAGCTTCGTTTATAGAACCTCTCCAGTCCTTGGGGTCAAGGGACACTCATGGCTCTGTAAGGGTGGGAGTTCCAAGATTTTAACTCAGCGACAGTGAAGAAACAGCAATGTAGTTAGTTTCTAGTCAGGATGAGGTGTGGTTTGAACGGGAACTTGAAGGCAATGGTGCTCCTGTGAATCTAATGCCCCTGGCCTTCTAGGTGGTACAGGTCACTAGTTTGGAAGACCGACTGCTACCCTTCAACAGCCAAGATAGTTGATGGTGCTTCAGAGCTGATAAAGTGCTTGACGAGATCCGGAGTTTGCAAATAGAGACAGTGTGTAAATTCAACCTCCCTCTCTTCTTTCATTGTAAACAGCAATCCTCATTTCCCAGGACATATGTGAAACATGTCATCTTTAATCGCTACATTAGTAAGCACTCCGGCTCACATATGTACTTTTCAGCTGATCATCCTGATGGAAACCGGAATACCAGGGGGAAAACTGAGCATGACCCAACATATGCTGTTGTAGAGAACGACTTGTGTTGAGTTGTATACAGCAACTCTGAAACTCAATAGTTCGAGACAGTTAGCAACTAAATGATGTGCCCCAGCCGGATCAGTCATGTTAAACATCCTGTTGAATTAAACGCTTGGAATGTGTCCACCTTCGTAACCACTTCTGGGCGATCACACTCCGTGGTTAGAACAGCATTGACTGTTAAACATGTAGACAGCATTATAGCCCCATTTTTTTACAATTCAAGCAAATGGGGAGAAAGCTAGTTCAGTCCCAGTTAGGAGTATTGATGGCACAGTGCTAATATCACTAGAAGGGTGATCCAGAACCCCAGATTAATGTTCCAAGGGGTGTGGGTTTGAAGTGCAACAGAGCAGATGGTGAAATTTGGATTCAATAAAATTTGGAATTGTGACCACTAACAGCCTGGTTTTCAAAGGTTACATGGATGCCATTTAGATTAGGTTTTTTTTTTAATTCCAGAGTTTTATTGAGGCCAAACTTCAGCAATCGGCCATGGTAGGATTTAAACTCATTTTCCCCACAGGATTTTCCTAGGACCTTGGATTACTAGTCTAGGGACATCACCGTGAGCTACTGGGTGAATTTGCACAGTAAGCTGTTTGCCAACAGAGGTATAAAAATTCAATAAAGCACATTTTCATTCTGCATTAAAGAGGCCATTCAGTCTGTGCTGGTTCTTAGAAAAGAGTAATTAAATTGTAGAAACTAGGAGTAGGAATAGGCCATTCAGCCCATTAAGACTATTTTGTCAGTCCTTGTGGTCATAATTAATCCTCTATTTCAATGTCAAATTCCCAACTTCTCTTCACACTCCTTGATGCCTAAACAAAAATCTCTTTCTTGAATATATTCAGTGACTCCATGCCCTTCTATTTCAGCGAATTTCACATGTTTGGGCAGAACGGTGGCTCGGTGGTTAGCCCTGCTGCCTCACAGCACCAGGGACCCGGCTTGGATGCCACTCTCAGGTGACTGTCTGTGTGAAGTTTGCACTTTCTCCCCGTGTCTGCGTGGGTTTCCTCCGGCTGCTCCAGTTTCTTCCCACAATCCAACAGACCAAATCTGTTCCAGTAATGTGCAGGGTAGGTGAATTGGCCACGGGAAATGCACAATTAAAGCGATAGGGTAGTGGGGATGGGTCTGGGTGGGATGCTCTTCAGAGGGTCAGTGTGGACTTGATGGGCTGAATGGCCTGCTTCCACACTGCAGGGATTCTACGATCCTATTCTATGATTCACTGCCTTTCGAGTGAAGAGTTCGATGTTTTCCCCTCATCTCAGAACTAAATGGTCAATTGACGTTGTATCCTGAGACTGTGTCCCTTGGTTCTAGACTCCCCACCTGAGGAACACATCTATCCTGTCCATCCCTATTAGAATCATGTATATTTCAATCAGATCCCCTTCATCCTTCCAAACTCTACTGACTACAGGCCCAATCAATCCAAGCTCTCCTCATAGGACCGTCCTACCATCCCCAATGTTGGTTGGGAGAACCTTCTCTGCACTCCCTCTGTGACAGGTATATCCTTTATTAGGTATGGAGACTAAAACTTACTAACAGTCCCACTTTCTACCATTAGCCATTTCTTTTCTACCTTTGTAAATAATATAGGCACAACTTAATGTAACATGTAATTCAGGCAAATAAAATGTTCCCTAAAATATAATCAGAGACTTTGGTGCTGGAAATCTGAAATAAAAATAGAAATTGCTGGCGAAACTCAGCAGGTCTGTGGAGAGAGACAGAAAACAAAGCTAACATTTCGAGTCCAGTGATCCTTCTTCAGAACTCAAATAATTATTCCCCTCAAGCCCAGTGGCTCTGCATTTATCCTTCAGAACAATGTTCACTGCCATCAGTAAAAAAAAATGTCAAGTTGCAACACCAACTTTAGCAAGCCTGAAAAAAAAACAGTAACTTAATGACAGTACTGAACACTCCGTTAAAATGACTCATTCTAACCATAGTCAGAATGACTGATTTGTTTGAACAGTTTCTCCTGCTCTTCACCACAATACTCAACAGTAGGAGCCTTCGAGCTGACATTAGGGTGTGCGCGAAGCGTGCATTCATTGAGAATGATTACTGCCTGTTAGTAATAATGAAATGCAGGCATCAGCGTTGATGACCCGGGTGGTCTTCAACCTACCTTCTGAACTGTTGTTGCAGTTGGTTTTGGAGCAGGAGAGGCCCTGAAAAACACAACAGAAGCCATCATCAGTTATTATTGTTAGTTGACCAACATCTTAACAACAAAGATTCACTTTCACAATTAAACTACACACAGACACAGACACGCACACAACATCCGGGATCAGGAGACAAACTGAAGTCAATAAAAACCGAAAGAACTGCGGATGCTGTAAATCAGGAACGAAAACAGAAAAGTTGCTGGAAAAGCCCAGCAGGTCTCGCAGCATTTGTGAAGGAAAAAAACAGAGTTAACATTTAAGGTCCGGTGACCCTTCCTCAGAACACAGAGTGCTGCCAGACCTGCTGGGCTTTTCCAGCAACTTTGTTTTTGTGACAAAATGAAGTCCCAATTAGCCGCTCCTCAACTTTGAAGGATTTCGTGCAGTTTAAAAAAAAGACTTGCATTTCCATAGCACCCATTCACATCCTCAAGATGATCCAAAGTGCTTCAACGTCTACTGAAGTACTTTATTCCCCACCAAAAAAAAACTGTTGAGAGGTCAGATCCGAAGCAGCTAATTTACACGCACATCAACCTCCCACAAACAGCAAAGCAACAAAAACCAAATCTGTTTCAGTGATGTCGGTTTAGGAATACATACTTGCCCACCAAGTTGGAGATATCACTACAAGGTTTTTATGTGAACCTCAAGTAATGCCAGTTGAGGGACACAAATATTCCCACAAAAGAGAGGAGTAGGGAAAAATACACAGAAAGGATTACTCCCAATCATACCAAGAGCAGGTCAGAGGTTAGGAATTCTGTGAGGAGTAACTCACCTCCTGACTCTCTAATGCTTGTCCATTATCTACAAGGTACAAGTCAGAGGTTTCATGTGATTTTCTTCATTTGCCTGGATGAATGCAGTTCCAAAAAGACCATCCAGGACAAAGCAGACTGCTAAACTGGCACTGTATCCACCAGCTTCAGCTTTCTCTCCCTCTGCCTCCAAGGCATAGTCGCTGTAGTGTGTACCATCTACATGATGCACTGCAGCAACTCAAAGACTCCTCCATATCTGCAACCTCCATCACCTACAAGGACAAGGGCTGCAGATACAGGAGAACACCACCACCTACAAGTTTGCCTCCAAACCAAACATCAGCCTGAATTGGAAATATATCGCTGCTTCTTCACTGTCACTAGGTCAAAGTCCGATAACTTCTTCTCCGACAGCACCGTGGGTGAACTTATATTTTCACAGGCTGCAGCAGTTCAAGGCAGCAGCTCACCACCACCTTCTCAATCTCAGTTAGGAATGGGCAATTAATGCTGGCTAAACCAGCCATGTCCAATTCCCGTGAATGAATTTATAAAAGTACTTTGTGGATAAGTTTCAAAGCACCATTGAGCTGAAGTCTAAAAATTGGTCAGTGCCAGCTAATGAGGAAGAAAGCATTCTGCATAATGCCAAGTATTTGTGGTCTGACAAAATGGCCGCGGAGCGGGGCTTTCCAGCACAGGCCTTGTCTGCTCCATCTGCTTTTCTTTTCATTTCTTTTCTTTTCTTTTGACTCCTTTCTCATTTTTATTTCTTTTTTTCCTAGAACTTACCTCTTGTTGAAGAAAGCAGTCAAGTTGACTGCATCGGCAGTGAGCGAGCCCATCAGTGCGGACTCGAGTAGGCCCAGTAGCGGGGACCCATGGCAACCGAGGCGAGTTCGGGCTCTCGGCTTCTGCATCGATGAGGCAGGCCCTAGCACCGACTCGCGGTCGCTGTGGCGGAGGTGAGTACGGGTTCCCGGTGGTGTCTGTGTCCGGCGCAAGTTCATGGAGGCCGTGGTGGAGGGGAGTTTGGGCCCAGTACGAGACCCTGCAGCATCAGCAGTGGCTGCATCGGCGAGGTAGGCCCAAAGCTGACTCATTGAGGTGGCGGAGTCGAGTTTGGGCCAGTGCGGTACCAGGCGGCATCCGTGGCGTCTGCATTGGCAAGGTCCAACGAGGCTTCATAGTGGCATGGGCATCGGTGGAGGTGAGACGGCAGCAAAGAGGTATTGACTTCCATTCCAGCGATGACAGCACGGTGAAAGGGGACTTGTACCTGATCACCAGGCCCATGGTAGAGCACCGAGCATGAAAGATTGTAAAGAGGAACTCTTTTTTCCTTTTCTCTTCGTTTTTCTGCCTCTTATATTCTATGGTTTGATTTATTTTTCTGTGTTTTGACATGGAGACACTATACAATACCTTTCACTATTCTTTGTAACAAAGTATACGTGACAATAAATCAATCAAATCAAATCAATACACTCATCTCTTCATTTACGTAGGGGCCATCAATCATAGTTAACAAACTAATTTGCACAAGTTAACATTTTGGATGCGTTGTGGTTAAGGTGAGAAAACCAAGAAAGTTGAGGTGAAGAGCAAAGATGCATTCAATTGAGAATTATGAATGCTGAATAAACACTAAAAAACAAAATACACGAGTTCAGCTATAGGGATGATAATTTCTGTGAATTCATAAAAGGGTCAAGACAAAAAGTCTGCAGTTGCCTGCTTTGCAAAACAAATGTTTAACAGTCATGTAATGTAGAGGCTTGCAGCACTGAAAGAGGCCATTCAGCCCTTTGAAAAAAGGCCAGCACAGACTCCCAAATCCTCACCTTTTCATTATCACCTACTGACACTAAACTGCCCTGTGTAAACTCCCATGGTATTGTTCAATCCATGGCACAACTATATCTCCCGCATTGTTTCCTGTGACAAGGCAACTTATTGACACCTCAACAATATTCTCTGTCTCCTCCTCTCAGGGTTCTTAGAGGAAGAGGTCATTTAGCTCCCCATGTCTTCTATTGTATTCAATGTGCTCATGGTTTTCAACTTAACTCTATATTGCCTCATAATGCTCAATTCCTTTGACTGACAAAAATTTATCAGTCCCTGATTTTAAAATTAACTGAGCAAGCATCAATTGCTCTCTGTGGAAGAGAGTTCCAAACTTCCATTACCCTCTGCATCTAGGTGGGTTTCCTAATTTCATTCCTGAAGGGTCTAATCTTTTTTAAAAATCTACCAAGACTCCTTGACTTATGGAAACAGTTTCTCCCAATTTAGCCAATCTGCTCCCCTAAATAACTTGACAAATTTGATCAGATCACCCTATAACCTTCTAAAATTCCATAAACTCCCTCCTTGCAGATTAACTTTTGGAGCCCAGGTATCATTCTTATAGATCCATGCTACACCCCCTTGAAAGGCAAAATATGCTTGCAAAAATATTCTGTCCAACGTGTGGTCTAACTAAGGAATTGTGCACCTGAAGAATAACATCTTCAGATTTATACTCTATTCCAATAGCTAGAAAGGCTGAGCATCCCATTTGGCCATTTGATTGTTTTTTTGTATGCAGTTACAATATTTAAAGTATATTCTTGCGTGAAGCTTTTATCAAAGCTTTGACTTGAGTTGTCCTCTTTGCCAAAGTCTGTCAACTTCTATCATATTGTCCTCCAGAGTGGCTCGCTTCATTAACACTCCCACCTTGACTTACAATGGGGTCACCGGTACCGAAATGTTAATCCTCAATTGGTCTCCCACCATCTCACCTTTCGTCACTTCCAGGATTACACTGTGTGGGTGGGCAGGGAGGAGAAGGGCATCTCAGAGGCAGAGTCCTATCATGTCTCAAACTTTCAACACGGACACTATCACATGTGAACTGAACTGCATCAACTTGAGTCAACAACAGTCAGAATGAGTGCAAAGTAACAGGCCACTGAAGAAAGTAAGAACTTCTATTCACAAAATGTCTTTCACAATCTCAGGATGTCCCAACGTGATTATCAGCCAATGAAGTTTGTTAATGATATAAGACACACAGGACTTATTTATCTATTCCATGACAAGTGACCATATAAACAGTTTTAGTTAATGTTAGTTGAGGGTTATGTTCAGTAAAAAAAGTGTTTCACAAATAGCTGAGATGTAACAAAACAATAAAGTTGAACAAAACATATCCTAGATTTATACAGCTCCTTCAATGGCCCACAACAAGCTCTTCATCTCTCCTTGATGTGATCTCCTAAACAAACTCAGAGTAAAGCAAGATATTGAAGGACAGCAATAAATCTGGCACTTAAAATATTCAGGCCTTTGAGGATGAGAACAAGACAATATTGAATGTTAACCTATAGTACATACAAGCCAGGGGAAATAGAGGTTAATTTGTATAGTGCTCCAGCCAGACCACATCTGGATTATTAGGTCCAGAAACTCAGCAAATGTTCTGGGGACCTGGGTTCAAATCCTGCCACGGCAGATGGTGGAATTTGAATTCAATGAAAGTCTGGAATTACGAGTTTAATAATATCCATGAATCTAATGTCAATTATTGGAAAAACCCATCTGATTCACTAATGTCCTTTAGGGAAGGAAATCTACCATCCTTACCTGGTCTGGCCTACATGTGACTCCAGACCCACAGCAATGTGGTTGACTCTTAACTGCCCTCTGGGCAATTAGCGATGGGTAATAAATGCTGCCTAGCCAGAGCCACTCATATCCCATGAGTAAATAAAAAAATACTCTAGATGGACGAGAGAGACACTTTGTAGCTTCAAGAGTAGTCATAGTCCACAATGTTATGGAAAAAGATGTGAGAAACTGAAAGTGAAGTAACAGACAGAGAGTTCCAATGAACTGATACAAGTTAGTGTGTTATAATTAAAATCAGCCCTGTAGGACATTGGGACGCAAGGTCAAACTTGAATAAAGGTCAGGATTGATATGAAGGACTTCAAAAAAGAATGATCGACAAGTGGAATAGTTTTCAAGTTGAGATAATCACGGTAAGAAAATCTTTGGGATGGTTTTGGTATACACCTGGGTTCTGAGACTAAAGGACTAGCAGTTCATATTTGGATGAATGAGGCATGTTCAAGGCCCTCTTGAACCACATTGACTTTGGGACAATATTATGAGATCTGTTATCAACATTTTTTTTTGAAAGGATGATTTTGCAAAACGGATGACACTGATTACAGCAGTAAATTT